CGCATGGTCGTAAGTCATCATCACCAAAATAACGGCCGAAAGATAAATGTCTACATCTGAATATAAAATTATTAATAAAATATGAAATATACAATTTGAACAACTCGATTTCACCAGTCATAATTTAAATTTAGCTATAAAATGCACAAGTCTAAAATTAAACATACTGGGATTTTTCACAGTATTCCACCATTTTTTCGAAACCATGCTGTATTGCTTTCACTTGCTCATCAATTATTATTTTATCTATTTTTTTGGCCTAAAAGAATAGATATGTTTGCATAGCCAATTTTTGCATCATTTATTCAATCATTTTTGAAAGCTTATAGTGCCTTTAGAAGTTATACCTTCGTTTTCGAAACATCTTGATTAACTAAAAAGTTGAGGAATCGTTTATCATCTCTGTTGTAATAGATACGGCAATAACTTCGTTTACCGTCACGTCCAGCACGACCGGATTCTTGATAATATGCGGCTAGATTCTGTGAACATGTCCAGTGAACAACTACTCTAAACAATGAATTCTAATAATAAATAAAAAACTTTTCTGTTTTGAATTAAATCTCACTCAATTGAAAATTTGAGGAAAAACATTGAAAAGGAAAGAATGGCTCCAAAAATCCAATCAAAACAAAAAAGAACCTAACATCTGCCTTGTCGATACCCATTCCAAATGAAATAGTAGCTGCAATAACAGGAACAACATTTCTCATCCACTTATCCTGGATGTCATCGCGCAGCTTTAATACGGAGAAAAAGAAATTAGAAAAGAAGTACTGAACATTGAGCTTTAAAATTATTTCACAGTTCAAAGTTTGGTTGCAACCAAATTTAAAAGTCTTTTAAATGGAATACATAAAGACGCCAGATTTTCAAATCAAGATCCAAGAAATGCAACAATTTAAAAATTGCAGCCATTTTTGGGAATTTCGTAAAAAACAAACCTTATTACCCAAACCGGCATGATAAGCAAACGTAGGAATACCTTCCTCTGTTAAACGAGTCGCCATTCGTTCACATTCCTCTCGTGTACGACAATATACAATACCACTACCCACAAACTAAATCGATATATTTTTGTCTTTTGGAGAACAATTTCGTTTTCGAATATCCCAAAAAGACAAATAATTCGTCTAATATGAAACAAAGACGGAAACTTGTTATAAAGAGGTTAATTGATGAAAATTTCCTAAATAATCAAAAAAAGTAGTAGTTTAAAAAAAAAAAAAAAAACAACCGAAAAAGAAAATAAAACTCACGATTAATTTATCACATTTCTCTTTGGATTTCGAAGAATCTCCATTTTCTGCTGACTTAAACATTAAATTATCAAGAACATTAGCCGCTGATTTTAGCTCAGGAGCAGATTTTACAGTGGACTTAGGTTTCTGAGTACATCCCAATGCTTTCATCATGAAAAGAGCTAAATGTCTCTGAAAAACGCTTAATAATTGCTTCGAATTTAGAGAATTCAGCTGAAGAAAGAAATAATAGATGACAGTAATAGAATCTAATCAATAATATTCAGTAATCATACAGTCTCAGATATATGTTTGTATCAGTAAATAGAAAAAGGAAAAATAAGAACCTCAGGTACAGAAGGTACAAGATCTTTCATGATAACATCGTAGTATAGATTATTGCGAAAAGTTGAAGCCTTAAACATTTTCACGTTGCTTAGCCTCAATTGCTTCACGATATCATCCTGTGCATTTTTGTTAGCTGTAGCGGTTAAAGCAATCCAACATATCTAGAATGTCTTAAATTTCATAACACTTCTACCATGTTTAAAAGATGGATTTTGAACATTCATTCAAATCCATCCGAGAAATCTATCTACTTAATAATCGGAAAACATTCAAAGAGACAGAATTATTACCTCAGGTGCTAGCTGTCGCAAATTTCCAAGTTTTAAATAATCAGGACGAAAGTCATGACCCCAATGCGTTACACAATGCGCTTCATCAACAACAAAATAATTCAACAAGTTTCTTTTGAACAAACTTGTAATCATTCGCTGAATATTTGGAGTAGCTGCAGATTCTGGGGTAATGTACAATATCTGCGTTTCAGGTTTTTCTGCCCGCAAATCCTAGAATTATATAAAAAAAATAATATTTTTTTAAGTTTCCAAAAATATTATTACAAAATTAGCATATCGTTTTATTTTCATTAATATATCGCAGCTTAAAATCTATATTCTTAAGCAGTTTAGCTGACATATATCAAACTTCACAGAACACTTATCTCAATAATTCGTCTTCGATCCTCAGCACCAATTTTTGAATTCAGCGAATCACATTTAATTCCACGAGCTTTACAAGCAAGCACTTGGTCTTGAATTAGTGCTATCAACGGTGAAAAAACAATCGTAATACCCGGATAATACAATAGCGCTGGTAACTGAAAATATAGCTTTCCTTTTTAGTGAATTTACTCTCCGCACTTACAAGCATTTAATTCCACAGTTTAAAACTAACCATTATAACTCTGAAAGTGAAACAGTTTAAAAATAGTGAAGCATACTTAAATTAAAAAATAATTATACCTGATAACACAACGATTTTCCAGCACCAGTTGGCAACGATATGAAAACATCAGATTTTTCTAAAAAAAAAACTTTTATGATCATATATATATAAAGACAAATATAATAAATAATAATAAGAAAAATTACTATGAAGACGAAAATCTTACTGTTTAAACTTTTCATTTCTTACGAATCTCACTGCTTGTAGGGCAGAAATAAATTAAGCAAAGCCAAATTCTAAAGTTTCATTCACAAAACACCACCAACATTCAATGACAAAAATGTCAAAGAAATTAAGAGTTATGAACTTCTTTTCTTAATGACGATTTCCTATAGCTAACAAAAAAAGCTACCATTTTTGATCAAACAACAAATCCATTAATAGAAATATAAGTGTCATTCACACATAAATAAAAAAAAAAGTGCGCTCACTTCTCGCTATGGTATAAATAGCTTGTTTCTGAATTGTCGTTTTATATTTTTTGTGTTTGAAAACAACACTCAAGAGATGATCAGCTTTTTCCATAATTTCTACGTTGGTTAAACGTTCTGAAGTGGATGCTCTTAAAGAATTTCGATTTTCGGACATCTTATCTTGTTCAGAAACAATCACAACCGGTAGTTTACGAGGTCGACCTAAAAAACATTTCATACTAACTGAATAGAGATCAATAAAGTTGCAAGGATAACGAAAACAAACATTAACTCTATTTTAACTTCAAATTGATCTGATCTATGTTCAGAGTTTAAAACCAAAGCAAAAAATAAGAGTAAAACAGTTACCTGATAAGGCTGCTGAGTTTGCTTCTTGTTTTTCTGATGAATGATTAATAATGCTACTAATTTTCTTAAGAGGAGGATGCATCAAAAAAGCCCATTTATCAGCCTGATTTTGCAATACTTGTGGTGGTTTAAAATCATCCTCATTATCCAGTACAATAACTTCTAAAATACTTACATTAAAATTCAAAAAAAAAAATCACTATCATCATTTAACTTCCAAAAAAAAAAAAAAAAAAAAATGAAGCCATAAAAAACAAAATCATATACATGCGAAGAATATACAAATTGAAAACAAATCTAAGCATTAAGCTCAGAATTGACGTAAAGAGAGCTCGGAAAATTCCATCCCTTAACTGATCATATTCTTCCCAATTATTACGTAATTTTAAACTATGATTTTTACCTCTTTATTTTCTTCAAAAAAAATAGCCATAAAATTCCCCCCTTTTTTTTGCTCAGAGGAAATAATCAACAGCCCTTAAAAACAGGAAAGAGAAGTGCCATTTATTCCCTTTCTGCATTTTCCATTTTTAGTATGCTCCTGCCATATAACATTCGTCGTCCTATGGAGAATTTTAGAGTACTTGCAATACTTTCAAAACCATCTTGAGTTACTCGAAATATCACATAAGAATAAAGAAAAAACATTTTTTCTTGATTCTTATGTCAAATTATAAATTCAAATTTATTTTGAAATTTCGACTTTCATGTGTAAAGGAGAAAATATCTTTACCATTTTTGCACTCTTTGCATTAAATAATAAAAAAAGAAATCACATGAAACTTATTTAGTGACAAATATTTTATTAAAACTTAGTGCACTTCAAAACATACCATTTTTGGCAGAACTCGCCATATCGTCATGCCATAAAAACAAATTACTATGAAACACACAGCTATAAGCTAAAAAAAAAACATTATTAGTACTCATGAAAAAACTCACATAGATTGAATTTTCGCCTGAATCGACACTATTAATCGTTAATGAGCTTGTTTAAGCGTTCAAACACAAATACTTATATCTTAATGGATACTTTACCAATTCTCAAAAAATTCCGTCATTAAATTCGCTAAAGTATGAACAGAATAACAACAGCATCCAATATGTTCAATGATTCGGATATGAGATATAAGTAAGCTTTCGTTAAAACGAATAAGAAACACAAAGTTAAAATATTCATATGTACACATATATCGAATCATTAACAAAATTTTGAATTAACAGAATAAAAGATATTCCTTGTTCAAATATTTAAAAAAAAAAAAAATAGACAAAAAATAAATCACAGAAGATCTTCAACAATGTTCTACCTTCGGATAATAGCAAAATTTCCTTTCATAAATCTACACGGTTATGGATTTTACATAAAAAAGAATTAACGAGGAAAAAAAAACGACGGAGGAAATTATTTAAAAGTCAGCAATATTTTGCCACCTGTTACAATTAATATGTACAAAGCTAAGAGTCAAATGCACCATTTCTTAACAACATAATATCGATATACTGGTTATAGAGCATAGGTAAAGCTACTGAATTATTAATTTATAAAGTTTTTAGGAATAAATTCACTGTTCTACGAGCGAAATGCCTCATTTACCGTTGAAGATACACGTAAGCAAACCTTCTAAACTTTTTGAATTTAAACTAAGGTCTGCTAAAATGTAAAAAGTAATCTAAAAATTGTCAATCATGACACTTTTTCCTTTTTAACGACAGACTTCTTTATAAATATTGGAATAAATCGTCGAACAACAAATTCATAAATATATAACAGAAACTGTCGTAATGGTGGAAGTGGAGCTAAATCTTTATCCTCCTCCGAAAGAGGTATCATCCTGGAACAAATTCAAAATTAATCACATATCAACTCCAGTTAGCGACCAATATTTGAAACAAGGTACAGCTTTTTTTTTTTCGCAGTAGTATAAAACTAAAATAAAGACTAACATTTTTGTGGTCAGAGTATGTACTGGTCCAAAAAGCATGGCAATTGCTGTACAAACAAGGCAGATTACATTGAATGGCATACTAAAATCCGGTACCGGTAATAAGATAAGCAGCACTTCGCCATGCATACTTATTATGCGCGAACTTTTTGCACCTAATAGTCTGGAAAATTTTGCACATAAGAGAATCTGTATGATCAAACTACAGTATTTAACTGAACCTAATACTTACTGATCATAGGTAGTAGTGAATGAATCGCCTAGGTCGGTTCGATTTTGTTTCCATAATTCAGCAAAAGCATTAAAAGTTATAACAGGAGCCGGAATATAAAAGCCATGGCTAGCATCTGGCGGATATTCATTTACTCTAAAAAAAATTTACATCTTCACTTTTTATTGGAACCGTGCATCCATACTATCATTTCAGAACATGAATATATGGATTTGGAAAATTCATTTTTCCAATGTTAATTCTTTTTCTGAGAATCCTACCAATGATTTTGGAAATTATTTTCGAGCCTTACTCTTGGTATATACTCTACAGCTTACTGAAATCTGAATGAAGATTAACACCTTAGAACTTCATCATTTCATATCAAATGAAAATTGCGATCGAGGGAATTTGAAAGCTACCCAGGACATGAATTATTTCATTAAAAGTTTCAAAACAAAATGCAAATCCTACCGTCATTTTGACGAACAACAGGTATAGCTCTTCACTACAAATGATATTGACAATGTAAAAAATTAGTTCTAATCACTGCATATGATCATGAATTAATTTTTCCATTATTTCTAAGCAGTATGCTGACTGCTTTCATAATCTCTAGTGATAAATGCTTAACAAACCTCAAGAAGGCTTTATCGAACTCAAAAGACATCTCACAAAATGAATTTTCTGGAAGAGTAACATTCCATTCCAGCAGAAATGGTCGCTGGCGATCTTTTGCCGGCACAAAGATCTTTTTGTTCACTTTCCCTTCCAAGAATTGCCCCTTAAAAATAAAAGAAATTTTAGAATTTTCATATTGGAACATCACTCGAAAACCGAAATATATATGAAATGTTCGTTAAAGTATATTAAATTATTTCATTTAGCTTTTGATTTGTGCCACATATTTGTTTAATTAATTTTTAAGCATAAATTCAATATTAAAATCTGTTAATTACCTGTTCAACGTCTAAAGGACGACAAGTAAAACGAATTGTGTGGTAGTATATTTTTATGAACCATGGCACTACGTGAGTATAAACAACAAACTGCGGAATATGTTGGCCATTTCTCAAAATACTAATCAGACGTCCCGATTGTTGGTCTGTACCCGTAATATAAGTTCTAATGCTGAAAATAACAGCTCATTTCATAATTAAAAAAGCAGAATACAGGTGCATAAATTTGGACAACTTATATTCTAATTCAAAATCGAGATCTTTTATGCAATAAAAAAGGATATGACTTAACACAAATGAGATTCAAATGTTTTCAAAAATTCTTCGGTGGGTACCTAACCCGTTCCTCTCGAATATATGCCAACACATCTAAAAATCATCACCTGAACTACCACCAATTAAAAGATAGAAACAAAATGCTTTTTAGAATTAAACACGAACGTAACCAAAGTAGGAATGTTATCGACCGGTAATTCCAAACGACTTTCATATTTTGCACTTATATCAATCGGGAATGCATGAAGTGGATAATCAGAAATATTATACAGTGAGAAAATGCGATTACCCAGTTTTCGTTGTTTGCCGTTTTTTATCACAACCTGAAAAAAAATAAAAACGACTTTAAATAAGTCAGACTTTTTTCCAGCTGCCAAAAATAAATGAATCCTAAGTATGAGAAATAAAAAAAAAAGCAATGTAAAACTACTTTTCGATCCACTTCGAACAAAACAGTATCCCTATCTGCTATTGCGCAACTTTGATCCAGTCGTCTACCAAATATATGACGAAAACTCCAATCTGAAAAACCTTATAAATGACAACACTAACACATAAATGACAATGTAATATCTTTTATAAATGCTTCAAAAAAGAAAGTTCAAAAGAATTTAAACAACCTAAACTTCGAGATTTCAAATCCAATTCCGACACAAAATTTAAACTGAGCTCCAGTCTTCGCCGTCTTCCACAATTCGTTGTCCCATCCTGAAAGTTCAGGTAGGACAAATAAGAAAGACATTTTCATTTGTAATTTAACAGATTCACTTTTTGAAGATATCCTATTTCGTTAAAACGGTGCTGCTTCTAATATTACAATACTTTTGAAACATTCAGACAGCGCTAAGAAAGATATTTTGGAAGTACTGTAAAAATACAGAAACTTTACAAACCTCACAAATGTGGAGAAAGTGTACGGACATCGAATGAAAAACCGATTCATACATTTTAATAGGATTTAACAGCGTGGATAAGCCAGTCTGAATTATTTATAAAATAACTGCAAGTAATATCATAAGGTAACTAAGGTTTTAAATGGTTTGGTTTTTTATAGTTGTCTTGTTTTTTTTAGTGTGTTTTTTTTTTTATTCTGGTAGTTTTTTGACCTTATATGTTTTTTATGAATTAACTATGTTGTCTGTTTTGTTTTGTTTGTTGGGATATAGTCCCCAAGTGGAGAAGGTTAGTGCTGGTTATTATTTCGTTTTTTATAATTTATTTTTTGGCCTTTTTTATTTTCTTTTCATCATGTTTTTAATTTTGTTTATCATGATTTTTTTACCTTTTCCAAAAAAAACTTTTCTTATAATATCTTCTTTTGTTCTCGCTGATCCACATAAGATAACCAGTAGACACATGAAATAAAACTTTATAAAGGCAGACTGTTTTTGAAAAGCATACCTGCTTACAAGGAAATAATTTTCTCCAAGGTGTAAAATTTTCTGTACAAATCGTTTCGCTAGCCAAAGCACCATACCGAAAAATTAAATAATAAAAAGAAATAAACATATTAATGAAGTAAAGACCGGAGAGTTGTAAAGAAATCAACCAATATTTTATGTATGATTTCCACATATCCATGCTTTCCACTCCAAATTTCAACATCAAAATTGCATGTTCATCACGATAGACATAAAAAATGAAATTCGTGAGTAAAAAAGTCACTTTATCAGAATACCTTATTTGTGACGAACTTTCTGGATGCATATAGCCCATCTGCAAAAACGAGAGTTGTGGTGCTGCTGTATAAGTAGGCAAAATATCGAGAAGAGATGTACAAAAAATACCATTCATCGAATTGACAAAACTTGACCATCGTTCATCAATTAATTCGCTAAAAAAAATGCTTTAAATGGAAAATCTATTTAAATCACTGCAAACTAAATTTAATTCTGCATTTCAATTTCTTATTAGCACAACAACTCTTGTATAGCTTCTACTTCCAAAACAACAATTCACTTTGTTTTATTTCCATTAATCCAAGCATACAATTGCGCACCGCTTGGTGAAGACGGCTGAGGTTGTATTCCCCATTCGTTCAATCTCCAGAAACCTAAATTAAACAAAAATTTGTGTTTCATAATTGCACTACTTGCCACATCCCAGTAATTCATTAACTTACAGGTCAACAAATCAACGATCGAAGTATATATGAATACAGCTCATTAATAAAGAAAAAAATACGATAATTAATTACTCAATAGATGTGTTAAATACTTATCGTCAGACCTTTTAGTTGTTTCAGTTTAAAGTATAAAACTAAAAACAGTACCTTGTGTAAGTGATAAATGAAATTCTTGGATATGATGCTTCGTTACTACTTCACTAATAATACGTGGAAAAAGAGCATAATCCAATCCTTTAAAAGTTTGAAAATTATTCTAATTTCATTCAACATATAAAAGCTGATTTGGGTCCGATTTAGGACTTCAATTCACTTCAATTTCAACAAATCTTTGTAACATTTAACTAACTGTAGCAATTACTTGTTTTAGTTGGAATTATATAGCCTATTTCACTTCTATTTTTGGTTATATGAAAATTAAATTAAATAATCAACTATACTCGTCTATATGATTTACTCAATTATCTCTTCTTTCATTAATTAATTAAAATCAAAACGCAAGAACTTACCTGATTTAGCATCAGATGTAATAACAAACCTAAACTGAGCTAACAAATGTTCACTTTTTAATCTTTTAATAAGTAATTCTTCAGTATACGTATCATTTCCTTTTAGTGTCCTTAAATCAACGCTACCATTTGATGTTATTAATAAAGAGGAGAAGAAAAGAATAAAGCCATCGTATACCATCCACATCCTCAAATGATAACAACGATGATATTATTATTAGTCCTTCCTTTTGACGCACATTTAAAATAACACGTGGTAAACGGTAATTAACTTGAATTAAACCACTAAAATGGCATTAATACTGATTACAAGGTAATCTAATAAGACAATATTGAAAACCAATTGTACTAAAATATATATCGGATGTCTAAATGAATTATATGAAAATACTTCAAGAATAATTATGAAAAGACTCCAGAATTGTCAACTTAAGGTTAAACGTAAAAAAAGTCATAAACCCTTCCGTCCTTCTTGCAACTCGCAAAAACACTTCCAAAAGGCTATAAGCACCACTTTTCCAATTTGCAAATTAAAAAATTTCGACGTATCTCCAAGCTTACTACTCACTGTGAAACATTTAAGTTTCACCGTACTTTAATCTACCTTAATTAAATTAAATGTTCTTCAAATTTACCATTTAATTAATTCGGTGGGTACAACTATTTCCTCTCATTTTTTTAATGTTTGAAATTATTCATTAAAATAATTATAATTCAATAATTATTCCTTGATAATGCTTATCCATTTCACATTTAATTATAAATAAACAATTCAATTAATAAATTACTGTGATCTGAAATTGTTGAATTCATATCTTACTAGATTATCAGTTATATTAATTATTATGTAAAATAAGTTTTGAAGTGATAATTACATAAAAAAAGTCAGATAAAAAGTTAATTTGATAAGTGATAAGTTATCGGACTACATGATAACAGACTCATCTATTTGTCAATAGATGAAACGCTATAAAATATTTGCACATACTTATTTATTCACGATAACTATTTAAAAATGACGTGATTAACAAATTATGTGTCACGTACGAGAATGTTTTATCCATTATTTTATGCATCAAAAAATACTTGAAAATAATTTTTTCATTTTTCAAACAAAATTGTTTGCAATATTTTTGAAATATTATTGTCTATTAAAACTGTAGAAAAGTAAAGTATAAAAGAAGGATAATTTGTAAATTATATGTTAAAAAGACAAAAATATTTTATTGTGAATTTGCTAAATAATTTGATAAAGTGAAAATAACTGAAATGAAAAATGAATAATAACAAATAAACATGTACAAAGCCCAGCAATTATACAACTAAATCATATTTGTATTGATAACAATTTATAATAGACAATGATAGTGATGGTGATGACAATAATAATAATAATAATAATAATAATAATAATAATAATAATAATAATAATAAATATATTAAAAAGAAACACAAATATAAAATGTAATAAATAAAATATGACAAATAACATTAATGAACAATGAGCAGTATTATATTAAATCAGTGCTCAATTTCTTTTTCTCTTTCGATTTTTTTTTTTTTTTTTGTTTTTAAAAAAGCTTTTTGACATTGACTTTCTAATAATTCAAATTTTTTAAAATGTTAGAAAGAATCAGAAATCATTGCAACAATTAAATATTATTACATTGGAATTATCAAAATTTGTTAGAAATTTAAAAAGAAATTTCTTTTTTTTTTAAAAAAAAGGAATAAATTATATTAGTAAATTAAAATAGTAACAGTAAAAAAATAAATATATAGTAATATGGAAAATTTTATTTTAATATTATAACAACTATTACTGATGTAATATTCAATAAGTAATTAAGTCATTCAATGGAAATATTACTTTAATATACGCTAATTTTATTTTAGTATTTACTATTTAACATTAAATATTAAAATAACATGCAAAAAAAAAAGGAAAAAAAAACCACATGTCAGTATTCATTTCAAATATTAATAATTTTTTTTTGTTTGTTTTTTCCTTTTTCTTTTTTTAATTTGCTTTATTAATTAAGAAATCATCAAACTGTAGCAAAATTCTAATATTATATATTTATTAAAAGAAATGATAAACTGATATAAAATTAAACAATATTTGAAATAAATCCATTACATGAAAATAACTTAATATAAATTCGTCAAATTCATATTTCATTATCGCATTATCATATCATATCATATCATATCATGTGTGTATCTATAGACAGATACTGTGTAATGCAAATTATTCATTTTGTTTCGTTGTTTTCTTTTCTTGTTTATTGTTGAAGTGATACTTCAATTAAGTGAATACTTTTGCATAGTCTGTTGGGACATTCTCGATGATCCATGAGCGCTAATTTCTTTGGATGATCAGGACAAACCTTTTGAAGTCGTCCGACAAGTTCAAACCCGCATCTGGTACAAACAATATGACTAGCTGGCCTATTACATATACAATTCTGCAAATGAAAGAACAAAAAAATGTATGAGAAAAAATAAACGAATATAAATTTTTCTATTAATAAAAAAAAAATCTTAAATTATAATTTATCAATTAATAAATTAATACTTTTTTAATATTACTTAATGATTTATTTAAGCATTCATCTAATTGAATATTGTAATAATTTTTATTATATATAATAAAAATTGTTAAAAAACAATAACATAATAAAAATCAAAAATTAAACTTAAAAATTTTTAAAAATAAAATTAAACAATTAAAAGAGTTCAAATAATTAAATAGATTTTATATAAAATATTTAAATTAAAAAAAATGATACTACTAGTTAAGAAATTAGTTAAGAGTATAAATTTATAAATTTACTAAATATTAAATTACTCTAAAACAATACACATACATACACACACATACATACATACATTATTAGACGAAGCAGTTGTATCCTGTATTTGAGTATCATTCGGTAGAGTATTATTAGGTTTCGAAAAAAATCCGGTTGGCATCGGTGGAAAAGTATTACGTTGATCTGATAATGCAATCTTTGATAATGATGACGATTTATGAAACTCTCTGCAATATATCAAAAAATATTATAAAAACAATGATAGCACTATCAGTGATTAAATTTAAATTATTATCAGTAATTCAAAATCAAATTTTAAGTACATTATAGATTAGCTAACTAATCTTTATTTCAATATCGCAGTACAAATATAATAATTATTTGCTTATTTTATAATGGTTAATTTTGATAATTTACTTTTTCATTATCATTGATAACGATAAAAAATTTATGAAATTCCCTGAAAAATAATTTCACGTAATAAGAGATTACAGAAGAAACGATAATGATTAATTAAATTTTAATATTTATCCATTCCTTCTGCTTCAATAAATAAGCTTATTCATTTATTAATTAAAGGAAGTAATAAACATTCCCTGTTTACTTATGTTTTTTAAACTGTCAAAATTTTAATTTCATTTTTTGATACTTAAATTTATGAATTATTTTCAAGTTCATTCTTTATTTCATGCCTAATTGTTTATTTTTTTTACTTTATGCTTAATTGCTTACTTGTTATTTCACGTTTATTTTGAACAATGTAAATAATCTCAAAACAAGAAAAAAAAAGCAAATTTTAATTCTTTTTAGGATGAATTTTATAGTTATAATTTAATATGATCAATCATTTTTGTTTACAAAAAATAAAATAATTAAAAATGTTGAGCATAACAATTCACTAATAAAATTATCAGTTGATCAATTTAGAGCAAATCATTAAAACTGATTCTTTCATAAGCATATCAAAATTTAGTGTTATCTATTTTTATGATCATTTTTGAAAGAAAATGAAAAATTTTGATAAGAATCTTTCTATTATCCAATCTATTATCTATAATACAGTATTTCTTGATTAGATATTACTGATATGCGACCGATAATCATTCTCAGTATTTTAAGTTTTTGATTTTATTTTTATTTTAATGTTGGATGAAAAAGAAAAGGTTAATATATTTCATAATTACTACATAAAATTGTAGTTTTGTAATCTAAGAAGAAAAAAACTTTTTTATCAATATTTTGATAATATTATTGTTATAAATAGTTCCTAATTAATAAGAAGTAGAATTTCCATTCTACCATACTTTCCAAAAAATTTAATAATATATTATTTAAATACTCCTAAAATTTTCTTGAAATTATAAAATAAATTATATTTCTAACCAAAAAAAAAAATATACTAAAAAATTATATTTACAAAATTATACAAATTATAATTACTAAAATTAAAATCTCATCACCCTATATTACAATTATTTTTCGATAAATTTAATAAAATATTATTTAGAACTTTTTTTTTTTAACTATTTAATACTTTTTCTAAATAAAATATCATTTAATTTCTTTGAAACTATTATTTAATACTTTTAAATTTCTTTGAAATATTATTTAATACTTTAGAACTTCTTTTGAAATCCTAAACGCTACATATGCATTATATATTAATAAATGTATAGAAAAAATAATTCCATTGCAAATTGAAGGTAATAATAATGATAAAAAAAATAAATTATAACTATTAGCAAAGAAGTGAAAGTTTGAGAGAAATTTTGGAGAGGAAATAAAATGAAACTTACTGATATGAAGCACAAAGAGATGATGTTGGCATATGTGCATCCATTTTCTACAACCACCGATACCCTAAAAAAAAAAAAAATAAAAAAATAAATGAGAAGCATGAAAGATATTAAAAAAACATCAAATGGAATAAGCCTTTTTATTCATTTCATTTAGCAAAGGAATTTGCTAATTCATTGATTTATTTATTGCTAAAAAAGATAAAAAAATTCAGTATAATTTCATTTAGAAAATTCAGATTGAATCAATGATTAATATAAGAAATAGAAATAAAAGAAAAGAGAGAGAGAGAGACAAAGAGAAAAGGAAATAAAAAATTAAATATTAAACAGTTAAAAACAAACAAATAGTAAAATTAAGCTTTAAAAAAATCTTTTTCATGCTATTTCATGGCTAAGATTTGAATTAAATTTTATTTAGTAATAAAAGTTAGAAATTGAGGCTATAAAAGAAAATGAGGAAATTTATGACAAAGATTAAACTAACAATTAAAATTAATTAAACAGTAACTTTATACTAGCCAGAAACATGTTTAATAAAATAAAAATTTTAGATTTATCAAACAAAAAAAAAA